TACAATTGACTCCAGTACGATTATTTCGATAACTTAACCCTTAACTCATATGGAAATTCACTCGACAGTCCGTCCTTTGTCTTCCGAGTGAATTTCCATATGAGTTAAGTTAAGTTATCGAAATAATCGTCACTGGAGTCAATGTATATCATAACGTTCTACGAGACATATCAACGTTGTAGAAATCCCCTACATTGCAATGGTTTTTGAGTGCCATGCTATTATAGCGCTATGAACTTTTTATTTCTTTTTACACTTAATAAAAAAGAAAAAGATTATTATTTAGAGTAAACATGTCGTAAAATCACTATCATCATAAAATTTCACAGTTGTTATAATTTATTTAGTCCTTGGACGTTACATCTTATTTAGTCTCAAGTGTACTCAAAAAGTTCATTTGAGTTGAGATTGAGTGATTGAAGTGAGTGAGTCGTAGTAGTTAATAGAAATCCTTATACTCGTACAGGTGTAAGTCCAACTTCGACCCTTCAAACCCGGAAAAATGTTATAGGGGACCACCTTTAATGCTCTGTATAGTTGCAACATCTATTAGGGATGTAACGTTACCAAAAACTCACGGTACGATAATATCGCGATATTGAAAAATAAAGAAAAATGTGAATTATTTTTTCTTTTTTAAATAATAAATCTCATTTGTACAGCATTTTAGTAGGATAGTAGTATTTTAAAGTGTCAACAATATAATAATCAGACCCTGCAATAGAATAAATCAAGTTTCACTTTAGTTTTTCAAGTAACTCAACTCTAACTCAGTAACTTACTCACTCAGCATCGTCAAGGTTATCTTTTAGGAATATGAGCATGTCCACATTTCCAGGTAGAAGCTGGGATGTGTGGGCGTTTACAATATCCCCTGCTGTGGAAAAAACTCTCTTGCTTGGTACTGATGTTGCTGGGACAGAGAGATATGCTTTGGCAATGGGTGACAGCAGTGGGTAAAACTGTGCCTTGTCTCACCACTTCAAAAACAATACAGTTGTTGCCAAGAAGGTGAGGCTTATTGACAGGGCGAGATATAAATATACTGTTGGTACTTGTCTATGTCTCTAGGTATGTACATGTAGCCCTGTACATACCATGTCCTTTTGTGTTATCTGTTGTTTTATGTTCATGTTGTAACCTACTTGTTGCCATGTTGGACAGGCCTCCCTTGAAAAAGAGAATGATGATCTCAATGGGACCATCTGGTTAAATAAAGGTTTAAAAAAAAAAAAAAAATTAAAAAAGAAAAAAGATTATTTAAAACATTTTTTTTAAATCGCGGTAGATTTTGAAAGTGTCACGACGGGATTGAGACATCTATTTACAGCGATATTCGATATATCGTTACATCCCTAGTAATATACAGTACACTATTTTCAGCGCTAAGAGGACACAGAAGGTAAAGCTCTGGCTTTCTACAATACAACTATGCTCAAATATACTACTCTACTATGCTTCTTTAAATATAAGGCAGGGCAATAGTAAAGCAATCTTATCAGTCCATCATGTGCTGGCTGGCTTAGTAGCTTTTGGAAATTAAATGTCACAAAAGTAAAAGGTCAGGGAAATCCGATTTATTTCAGCTAACGACATTCACAAATGTTCTCCAAACTTATATCGTGGAGAACTTCTTTTGATGACAGGAAGCAATTCATTTTTTAAAAAGCTTTTATACAGGGTGAGGGTAGAATGATCGCAGACTAGGGTGGTATTCACAAGGGAAATCAGATTAATCATTGCTGCCACCAAAGAATCCCAGATTCCCAGAGTCAACATGCCGCAGTATGATTCTTCTAATGTTGCATGATGTGTTGACAGATACTGTTCATTTGAGAGTGATCTGGGGAAATGCTACTCATCCCGGGGGGGATCTGCAAGACTCAATGAACAGAAAGTCATAGTTTTAAAAACTGTTTTCATCATTTAGTTCATGCGTCAAGCTGTAATGCTCCTTTAACGCAATTTCCAGTCCAGGCAGAGTTGACACTGAAGATCTCTTCACAAAGCACAGCTCTGACTGGTGTAACCCAGCATGAGCACATCATGACTATCTAAATATCTTCAACGTCAACGAATAAACCTCTGTAAATCCTCACAAATAAATTGAAAAAATTTGCTACTTATAGCTCTACTTGCCGAATCACCAAAATGCTTATAGACTACTACAAAATGTAGGCTACAATGTAGGTCCATTAAGGATGAAGAGACGGCACAACATTGTACAGTACTTCCTGTTTACCGTTTTACCAATTTAGAGCATTATTATGCTTGACACAAAAAACTAAATATATATATATATATATATGTACTGTATCAATTCATGACAAAGGTACCACACACACACACACACACACACACACACACACACACACACACACACACACACACACACACACACACACACACACACACACACACACACACACACACACGAACTGTCTCTTTGAGGTAAACTCAGCCTTTATCTGCCCACTGGTCAGCATGAATCTTATCTGGCTTGTTATGTTTTTCTTCCAATAGCCTCATTATCACGGCGAGAGAGGCGGAAGGGAGACATGTGCTTGACTCTGATCTACACATTCTCTGTTCCCCTATTAAGAGTGCAATGGATTTCCTATACTGTCACAGTGAGATAGAAAAGGATGATAGCCAGGTAAGGGTGGCCTCAAAGAGAGGAGTGTCACCAGTGAGTGAGACGGAGATCACTCAGTCAAACACATGCAGCCTGATGTTGGCTCGGAGAAGGAACCTTTCATTTAATGAGGCATTGAGACCCAGCGGGAAAACAAGCAGATCCCCCAGGTGATGCTGATGCTGCCATTGCTACAGCATTGTACACAGGACTCTTTTTTAACTTGAGCAATATACCTTTCTCCTCTCAACACGTAGGTGAACTTTAAAGAACAACAAACTTTGTTTCAAGAACTCTAAATGTCTTATAATTGATTTACTGTTTTCAGTTTTTACAAAAGCTCAGGTTTTATTAGAGCGGACCAATGCAGTTTTTTTTAACAGAAGGCCAGCTGCCCATAATGACTCACAATCTCTCCAGTAAAGAGAGTTCTCATTTTTGACAAACAATTGACTAAAGTGTGGTGTATCTTCCCCCGGGAAAACATTTTACACTGCTGGGTGAGTTTGTGCACCAACAGTTTAGTTTGAGAAACGAAAGTATTTGGAAAGAGCATTTACACAATCATTTTTTGACTGTATTCGATTTTCTTTTATAGACACAAGCCGCTTTATTTTACGGAGCCTCGCTGGAGTCAAAAGCCTGTGAGTGTAAATCTATGGGAATATAATTGTACAGTAGTTTGTGGCCTCGTGGGTTCACAATTGTTTGCACACAAAGTACATTATGCTTATGTTACTTACTGTACATGCATGTAATTAAATAAAAACGTATTTTGGAGATTTGTGTAGTATTGCTACCTTTACTTAAATAAAAGATCTAGCTAATCCCACTAAGAACAAGTCAAGTACAGGACATCAACTCTATGAGTTTTACAAAACAATAAACATACATTCAATAATCAATATATATATATATATATATATACATCAAGGAACCAAGTGAACTATGTGGTGAGAATATAATAATAATACATTATATTTATATAGCGCTTTTCTACAACTCAAAGACGCTTTACAGTATGAGGGAGGGTAGACAAACAAGGACAGGCAAACAAATACATTTAATTAAATAAACAGAAAAGGCAGTCAAGAGGAAGTTGGATTGAGACGGGGGGGGGCTTATGGGTAGACAGAGTTGAAGAGATGGGTTTTGAGGCGGGACTGAAAGACTGTGAGGGAGACTAGGAGCTGCCACTGAGAAGGCTCTGGCCCAAAGCTGCAGAGTGTGGATGGGGGAATGGATAGGAGTCCGGCTGCGGTGGATCTGAGGGACCGTGGGGGTTGATAGGGGGTGAGAAGGTTTGTGAGATAAGGGGGTGGGGGGGCAGATGGGTGAGTGCTTTGTACTGTAGGTGAGGACCAGCATTTTGTAGTTGATGCAATGGGAGACAGGAAGCCAGTGAAGGTCTTTGAGGACTGGGGAGATGTGATGGGGAGATGTGATGGTCATTACACATATATAATATAGTCATTACAAACTTGAAACCCTCACCACACTGATTGGATGAAACCCCCTGTAGGAATAATAACAGTATGGTATTACTATTGAAGCCAATAAAAATGCCCTAAGGTACAGTAGGAATACATAAATGTACTATTCTGAAGCAGAGACTCATTTTAGTAATGAAATTGTCTTGATTCTGCCTGTTTGGGTATTGCCATGCCAACAATGCGAAGCGCATTTTAGTGTGTTTACCAAAACACATTAAAATATGCGTTGAAATCAAACTGCATCTATGAAAGCCTGGATGAAGTTTGAAATGACAAAAAAAAGCCTTTAAAAAGCCCTTGAAAACTGCTGTCCATCAAAACAAAAAGAAATAAGCAAGCAAATCACAAAACAAGTGAATAAAAGCGATTGACAAGATCGGAAATGTCTGTCAATCACTTCTTTTTTTAAATAAAAAAAAAGCGGATTCTACTTCGCTCTACGGATGAGGCTGAGTTGGAGGCACAGGAAACACAGCCACAACTCACCTCGAGGTTTGCCTTTTGAAGCCACCACTGGAGTACCCAAGAAGACAAGAAGGGTTGGACGGACAGCGAGAGAGGCAGACGCCAGAAAACAGAGAGGAAAAAGAACAAAGAAAGAAGACAGAGCAACCAATTAGACAACCGTTTAAAGAACAGTGTGCCTTTATCTATCGCGTATATATGGAGAAACAGCATTGTCTTTATCTTGATTGTCAATCACGACTGCTGCAACCCTCCGATCGTTCAACCCTGAAAGAGAATGTCCCGATTTAGCTCATCAGCAAATTGAGACCTTCCAATGTGGCACCTTTTAATTAGTCACATCATCTGGATCATAGAAGGAAGCTTGTTGCGTTCTAATGAGCTGGCAAGGCCCCATAAGGATATGGGCATACTCTAGATATCATGTTTTCGATTAGTGAAGGCTGTGCTTCATTTGATTTCTCGTGGAAATGACAGACTTTATCAACATTTTACAGTTGATTATCTTGTTTTTATCAGATGCCTCTCTGGCTTCAATTTCATGTGTACCCAGAGACAGTAAGGATTTGCCTCTGTGTGCTCAGGACTAGAGCCGTGTATGCACACACTGGTGCGGCATCCTATTAGGTGTTGATTGACAGCACTGTAACAGAGAGGAGAAACACAGACACACTGTCGCCTAGACGATAATAAGCCATGATAAGGGAGGGTTCAATTAACACCTAGGTGAAAACCATATAGGCTTTTATATAGAATAGCCATGTACCAAAACAAAAGGTAACACAACCTAACCAACAACAAAAGCGTCACCTTTGAGACTTCCTGCCGGTACGAACACAGCAGAGAGCCAAATAAACAACACAGATTGTCTATTAGAGCGCGTGTCTGTGTATTTGCGTGTGTATCCTGAGGGAATGACTCTTATGCTTCACACACACTGCTTTGCCAAATTGATGGATCTATTGGAATGCCTCCAGTGAGCCTGAAAACCTGAACAGCTCTAAGAGACAGCGCCGGAAAAAAGGATGAGAGAGGAAGAACAAAGAGAATATCACTGCAGGTGGCGAGTCTGCGGGATATCAAATAATATCGTACTTTGTTTACGATTACAGATAAATAAATCACAATTCCATTATCAACCAATATAGAACTGTTTTCCTTGTCTTGGCTGAGACATTAAATATAAACACGTTGAAATTCATTGTCAGGAAAAGAGATACAAGCTGGAAGCTGGACACTCTTTGACTCTCAAATACACTTTGCTATGTTTGTATTATAGAGCCATGAAATCCCAATGGCCAATTTTCAGTGACTGATGGAGATGATTATGTTTTTCTATTTCACAGGTTGCCAAGGCGCAAGTGAGAAAGAGTGAGAAAGAGAGAGACTGATCATTTCCTGGGATCTTTAAGGTACATTTTGACTAATCTCAATTTTACATCAACACTAATGCTTCTATGTGACCTAAACATAGGAGGCTTGAACTCTCTCCCCTCTCTCCCCCACACTGGACTTTAACACCCCCACACACTCAGACACTCAAATCCCACACCAGACACTTTTTTACGCTGCTATGGACAATCTTGCACTAATGTACATTCCCAAAGATATTGAAGTGTTATTTTGTATATATTGATTGTTGTGTTTTTAAATCTTTATATGTGCACATGTATACATGTGTCTGTTGAGTGTGTATATATAGGACATATTTTATACATATTTGTATTTTTATATTCGGGATTTGGATCTCTCTGTCTGTACACACAAACTGAAAGACTTTGACATACAGTATATGCCACAAAACCTGTGATCATGATCATGATGACCAGCAGGGCCGGCCCTCGGCATAGGCAGTATAGGCGAAGGCTAAGGGTGCATCAACCCATAGGGGGCGCCGAAACTTGGGGAGAAAAAAAAAAAAAGAAGTTAGAAATGTAAAACAAAAATATTTTTTAATTTACTTTTTTAAAACACAATTTCACAATTTTGGATCAACAAAGTACATCTTATTATCTTATACTAACAGAACTACGCATATATTGAATACAGCGCCCATAAACTAGAGCACACCCCCCCCCAAAAAAAATCTAATTGAACTGCCCCAGCCCCAGTAAAAACCAGAGGTTTATGTGAAATTGTTCTTTTTTTGAAATAATGGTTTTAGTGTGCAATTATAGGTTTTAATTTTGTATTTGTCTTAATTTAAAATAAATCAAACTCCCAAAAAACATATACAGCTTCTGTGTGCTTTTATTAACATTGGAATTTACTGTGTAAGCGTCCGCGGGGGGGAGAGATTTAGAGAGCTCTCTCCTGAAAGACTGAGCGGCTCTGATAACCTCAGCTCAGTGAGGCAAAGGCACACCTTTATATGATCATTATAGCTATAAAAAATAAGAGAATAGATGAAAAACAGGTATAAAATACTATATGACCTTAAAAAAAAGTTGTTATTAATAAACAAGAATACAGTTTGAAAGGGGAGTGATTTGTAAAATATCCATAAAGAAAAAGAAAATCTGCTTACAGTTCTGTTTCATATGGGTGTTGAGAGATGTATCCATAGATCTCCTAATATTGCTCTCAAAGTGCACCAGATTGATGCTTTTAACTTCAATATAAAAAAAAGTCTTCCCGGGGGTGCATGCCCCCGGACCCCCCTAGAGGAGGTGAGGTCCCCCCTCACTTAAATCATGTTCAAATGGATAGGATACTAAATAGAGTTGCACACATCTTGTGTCCATATCTTTCTTTTTTCTCATGCCACAACCGTGCATGTGCGAGTCATAGTGAGTGTCTGCATTTGGGGGGGGGCGGCTTGATAGCTGTCCTACCGGTGTCCATGTTTGCCCTTGCATTCGTGCCGGAATATATTAGGTACGAATCGCGTGAGGTAATTGGTACGGTGCCACGATATCCGGAGTCCCGGTAAATGTCAGCGCTGCTTCCTCTTGCACAATCGAGTAAGGGGCTATTCGATTCCACGACGAGCTAGGGTACTTAGGGAGAACCCAATTTTGCGTGGGACATTAATACTTTTACCGACTTGTTAACGAATCGCGTTTCTAAAGAACTGATTCCGAGAGCAGTGAGTTTCGAATTGTCTTGATACCACTGCAGTGCCTGAGATGCAGGTCCCGGCCGTGACTGGTTACGACGGGATCCGTTCTAAAATCGA